ACCCAGGACTGGCACAGCTCAGCCCCTTTCCCTGCCCCTGCCAGCGTTGTTCTAACAGCCCTTCGCTTCCACCCGCTAGAAAATCGAGGACAAGAAGCTATTCTATGGAGTCCGTGCCCCAAAACAGATCTTCCGGAAATACCAGCAGCTCCTGAGGAACCCCGACAGCAGGCTGCAGAACGGCGACGTCCATCAAGAAGTACCAGTGACAACCAGGTGGGTGCTGACCCGCGCTGCCGACCCCCAGCACCTTGCACTCCCCTTCCTCCACACCAGCAGCTTTTCTCCAGCCCAGCTCACGGCTTTGCCAGGCTCCTCATTCCCCGCAGGAGGCCACCTCCATCTACCTCGTGTGAAATTGCCAACTTGTCACTGTCCACAGCCAGCTCCCCATCTCTTCCCCTCTTCCTTCCCTGGATTTTGGTGCACACAACCTCCCTTCCCTTGCCCAGTTCCCAGGGCCACACGGCACAAGCCTGTAGCCCCAGAGCAGCCCTTAACCCCCATTTCTCCTTGCTCAGGATACGGATCGTGAACTTCATCCTGAACAACACGGTGACGCCCGACCTCGGTAAGGGAACGGCTGATGCTCAGCCCGGATCTGCAGCAAGGCTCGCGCAGGGGGGATGCAGAACGGGGGGGAGAAAGCCAGGGTGCAGCTCAGACAAGTACATTTGCTGCTGCAAATTTAGAGGCTGGGAGATCTGGACTGCAGGAACCAGCAGCTCTGCTCCCGCTGCCCAGACCCCTGCCCTCGGCTGCCCAGAGCAGCTCTCCCGCACCCCCAGAAGAGCTCACCCCGCTCTGATGCCCCGGGACGAGAAGGCACAGGGTGCTGGATCTCAAGCCTTCTCAAAGGACCTGCCGGGCTTGCTCCCAGCCCCAACGCAGCCCGTGGCAGCCCAGGGGAGCAGCACACCCACAAGGCTTGGTGCCGGTCCCTTTTGAATAGCTCAGCCTCTCCCAGGCATTGTTTCTTGTTTTGGTTTGGCTTTTTTTTTGCCCCCGGCAAAGATTCCAGAGAAGTTTTGCGGTAATTCTGCCTGGCAGGGAGCACGGGGGTGAGGGCAAAGCTTCGCTAATCCTCTCCATTCTGCTCTGCCACCAGAGAAGCTGCACGACTTGAAGAAGAAGAAAGTCTTTGAGGCAGCGTTTCCCCTGCACGAGGTGAGGCCGAGCTCACGGGTGCCGGGGAGGAAAAGCTACGGGAGGTGGAGGAGACCTTTGGGTAATTAGATTGTCCTCATGTTTCCCCGTCCAACCAACTTCTCTGCTCTCCAGAAAGAAGAGGTAAGGGAGTTCCTAAAGGAGAAATGGGCTCGCTGGAGAAGCGTGTTTTCCCAACAGCCGATTGAGAAGATCAGGTAACACCGGCAGACGAGGCACAGCAGATCCCTCCTGAAAGCCGGAGAGCTTCATGCTCTTCACCAGGCTCCTGTGATCTCTTCTAAATCTTTAGTTTGAACCCAGCTCCTCTCACACACATCGGGCTTCTTCTGAAGCCTGCAAAGTTCTTAGCCTAAAGGGTATCCCTGTGGCACCATCTGCCGATTTTCCAGTACGAAACAACCCCCGCATCTGCACGGTTTTTAATTAGCCTGTTTCGTTTTCAACCAACACAGCCCCATGTTCAAAAGGAAGGCGAGGTGGGAGCAGCACCCACACAGTGCACCCAGGCGCAGCTTGGGGCATCAAAGGGCTCCCGCAACCACTAAAATTCAGGGATGAGCACAGCTCTCATTTTAAAAAGGGAAGGAAAAAACTCTCCAAGGTCAGGGGACGGAGGGCAAAAAGAATCACGGAATCACAGACTGTTGAGACTGGAAAAGACCTCTGAGATCATCAGGTCCAGCCTATGACTCACCACCACCACAACAAGCTACTTCATCAAGTTGTCAGCAGGCTCTGCTGGGAGGTGGAACGTTAAAACGGAGACGCGATCTCCTTCCTCAAACACTGATCACGGTTCACAAGGCTGGCAGAGGCATGAGGGGCATGTGGTGCACGAGGTCAGGCAGCTCCTCGCTGCCGAGGTCGATGCGTCGTGGCTCGGTGCCATCACAGAAGGAGTAAGGGAACGAGTATAAAATTGAGGGGCAAAGGCGAGGAGTGTTGGGCGGGTTTTGTTGGTTTTAAACAAGGGCCGGGGATCCCATCACCACCTTCAACTGCCAGTAGGGAGTGAACCCTCTGGAACACAGGAGGGGTGGCAGGTCCCTCGGTCGGCAGTCAGCACGGCCAGTCAGACCGAGCCAGCTCCCGCGGCAGCCTCGCCTCGCTCGTCTTCACCTCTCGGTGCATCCTTGCTGTGCAGCCCCACGGCAATGGTGTCAACTAAAATCACTGCACCCACACACGGCACGAGTGCAGGGACACCCAGATATTACCGCCCGTCGCACAGGCTGCTGCCGAAACCCCCCTGGAAACACCGCACACTCGCGTGTCCTCCAGCTCCTTCACTCCACCGGGCTGCCCTCCCAGTCCCAACAACACCCTGAGCAACGCGGTCCCTTCGCCCGGCCACAGCCCACATCTGGCCTCTCCTCCTAGGTGCTATTTTGGTGAGAAGGTGGCCTTGTACTTTGCCTGGTTGGGCTGGTACACCTGCCTGCTGGGGGTCGCTGCAGCGGTTGGGC